TGAGGTATAACTGACAATTTTAAATTTAAAAAAATGCCAAATTTTAGGCCGGGCCGTCTTTACTCATTACTTTTACTCTTTAGGTTTTCCGCTGACGAAAGGGATAAAACTCTACAACAATTCAACTGTTCCTGTGAATTTCAAGCTACGAACGGTTGAATACGATGAGTTGGATGAGGACTTACGCCATGCTGACAGTGAGGACGGCGACTCAGGTTGCGCTCTCAACTCGAACAGACAGACGACAAGTGCTACACTGCAGAATATTGAATTTGATGTGAAACCCAGTTGCGGGCATATGGACGCCTTCAGTTCGACTGAAATGGAAATTACTTTTAAGCCAATGCTAGCGGGAAGGTTAAAGTGGAAACTACTTGTTGACGCCGAGCACGTGACCGGTGCCACCTATCTGTCGGTCTCCGCCGAGTAAGGAAACTTTGAGTTCTCCTTTGGAGTCTTATAATTACTGAGGCTCGGCCTCTGGATGCTGAAGATAACTGTTTGAAGGTTAAACGAGTGCAAAGGAGTCCTTAATAAGGTGACTGAACTTGATCGCGGGTGGTGTTTGCCATAGGTGATAAAAAGGCAGAAAAGTAAATGCAAACAAAGGAGAAAAGCTGCGTTCTGAAAACAAATTAAATGGAATACCGCAAGTGTGAAAAAAGTTCAGCGTTAGATTCTGAACTTAGGATATTGTCTCTGAACAGTCTTTCATTGACAGTAATTTTTGACTTCTATGCCCGACAGGCAATTAGAGAGTAGTCTACTCGATTTTGCTCTGTCTTCTTTTCCATCCAGTCGTTATTTCTCACTGATCCTATCTGTGAAGTGCAATGTTTGATCAAAAAATGAAAAGGAGCGATACAAAACCATTGAAAATATTACCTAATGACATGTTTTTGGATTTAGTAACTGGTCGCTATATTTTGTTCTGATCATATTGTATGCGAGTATCTCTGGATTTATATGGGCATGTTCTAGAACTCTAGATTATAAACATGTGTGTGACTCGATAGAACTTAACCAAGGCTAAGTCTGCTAAGGAGCAGGTGTCATTGAAACATTTTCCCGACTTCGTGTGATCGTTCAATGATCCGTGGGTTGGGCACTAACGTAATGTTCAGTCATCGATTGCCTTTGAAAAGAGTGAGTGGGCTGCAAGGCACAAAGAGACGAGTGTGTTCCTAAACGCAATCGAGAAGCGACCCAATACAACAGTTTATATGCTCGATCGCAATCGACAGAGAAGTGAGCCTGTGGTTCAATGGTTAGGTCATTCGTCGGTACCTGGGATCGTCGTTTGTCACCAGTACGTGCTGCTGGTCTCGTTGCCGCAAGAGGCCGTAGTCTATTAGATGCCACTGCCGGGACCGGGTGTGCATTTTGGTCGCCTTCTGCTACAGCGGAAGGCGAAAGGAGTTGTTGGTAAGGCTGAGGTGGTGCTGTTCACAGGTTTGTAGGGGAAGAAAGTCATTGTCATTGGAGCCGTCGAGACTACTAGGTCCCAGCCCTCCCGTCCAAGCAGCATAGTTTGTGCCAATCAACTTGTCCGCCTCCAACACAGTCGACAGGAGGACATACGGATTCACGTAGAACTTGTTCT